TATAGGCAATTAGCAAGACATCCCCAATAAGGGAGTGGTTCTGCAGGTGATGACCACAGACCACTTTTCAGTTCCTATGCTTCCTGGCTGATGTTTTGGTCACTTTTGAATGCTGGCGGTGCTTTCACTCTAGTGGTAGAATGAGACGGAGTCTACAACCCACACAAGTGTCTCAGGTAGTGCAGCTCATCCAGGATGGCACATCAATGCAAGCTGTGGCAAGAAGGTTTGCTGAGTCTGTCAGCGTAGTGTCCAGAGCCTGGAGGCGCTACAGGAGACAGGCCAGTACATCAGGAGATGTGGAGGAGGCCGTAGGAAGGCAACAACCCAGCAGCAGGACCGCTACCTCCGCCTTTGTGCCGGAGGAACAGGAGGAGCACTGCCAGAGCCCTGCAAAATGACCTCCAGCAGGCCACAAATGTGCATGTGTCTGCTCAAATGGTCAGAAACAGACTCCATGAGGGTGGTATGAGGGCCCGACGTCCACAGGTGGGGGTTGTGCTTACAGCCCAACACTGTGCAGGACGTTTGGCATTTCCTCCTAATGCAAGACAATGCTAGACCTCATGTGGCTGGAGTGTGTCAGCAGTTCCTGCAAGACGAAGGCCCACCCGTTCCCCAGACCTGAATCCAATTGAGAACATCTGGGACATCATGTCTCGCTCCATCCACCAATGTCACATTGCACCACAGACTGTCCAGGAGTTGGCAGATGCTATAGTCCAGGTCTGGGAGGAGATCCCTCAGGAGTCCATCCGCCACCTCATCAGGAGCATGCACAGGCATTGTAGGGAGGTCATACATGCACGTGGAGGCCACACACACTACTGAGCCTCATTTTGACTTGTTTTAAGGACATTACATCAAAGTTGGATCAGCCTGTAGTGTGTTTTTCCACTTTAATTTTGAGTGTGACTCCAAATCCAGACCTCCATGGGTTGAAAAATTTGATTTCCACAGCACATTCAACTATGTAAAGAACAAAGTATTTCAGAAGAATATTTAATTCATTCAGATCTAGGGGGTGTTATTTTTGTGTTCCCTTTATTTTTTTGAGCTGTGTAGATTCAAAGCACCATAAACAAATATTCATTAGGCAAAAACTCTCACAAACTGTTAAAACTCTCCAATATATAAAGAATGCATGTGAATTAAAGATAAATAAATTACTAAAAATAAAATATTACGTGTACTTAACCTTATGCAATGAATTTTCTCAGTAATCACAAAATTAAGGATGGTAAACTTGTCAAAGACCTCTTGATTTTATGATACATATCTTCAGGTGCTATAAACATTAGATCTGGAGATTTGCTTCCTAACACACTGGAATTTGTCCTAACATCTGAGATGAAATGTAGCAAAATCATGAACTATTGGTACAAGCATTTGCCATAAACTCTGAAATATACATTTAGAAGAATATTGATTATTATTATTAATAAACAAATGTGCCAAGAACTGCCTGATGAAAAGCACTTGTAATGTATTTTCAACTCGCACACCTGTTTTTTAGTATACTTGAAGATTTGTTTAAGTTCAAACTGCAGTTAGTCTGAACATGGGCTGATTGGGTGATTGGTCAAATTCCCGAACTCCTAGATGAAACGTACCTGAATCATGAACCACGAAAAATGTGCAATGGCCAAGCATACCCGTTTTGTATTTGTGAGTCCGCTCATCTGGCCAAAAAAAGAGATTGAGGGGAAAGAGTGGAAAAATAGATGAATAATGGCTAGTTGACAGTCACTAAATGTTGATTTTGTTCACAGATCAAGTGAGAAGTGACAAGTAGAAGGAAATATAGACCAGTGAAAACTCCTTATATTACATATTTAACAAACATATAACATTTCAATAAAGATGTTTTACTGCACCTCATTTATTCCTCATTTGATTACTCTTTCTTACTTGATATGTGAAGCAAATGGCAATAACATTATCCCACCATCTTGTTATATATATATATATATATATATATATATATATTGCAGTGCACTGTCTATGTATATTGCAGTAAACTGATTGGCTATTTTGTCTGATATTTTTCCTGATTCTTTTTTTTTTACCAAAAAAATTTGTTAAGCTGAACCTCCATGTACCTGAATTGACCCCAAATGTATTTATTTTCAACAGAAGATATTTGTCGAAAACAAATTGCACAAGAATAATAAACATTAGGGATGTGCATGGGCAAAAAACGTGGTTCGGTTCGGTTTGGTAATTCGGGTAAGTAAATAAATTTGTATGCTTCAGCATTTCAGACCAATGGCATCCGGTACAGTTTGACACATCAGCAATTCGGCACTTCGGCAATTCTGAACTTTGGCAATTCAGGACTCTGGCAATTCGGAACCTTGGTAATTCAGGCCCTGACCCTAAACCCTAACCCTAACCCCGAAACGTGGTTCAGTTCGGTTCGGTAATTTGGGTAAGTAAAGAAATTTGTATGCTTCGGCATTTCAGACCAATGGCATTCGGGTTCAGTTTGGCACATCAGCAATTCGGCACTTTGGCAATTCGTAACTTTGGCAATTCAGGACTTCAGCAATTCGGAACTTCAGAAACTCGGAATTTTGGTAATTCGGACCCTGACCCTAAACCCTAACCCTAAACCCTAACCCCAACCCTAACCCCTAACCATAACCCCTAACCATAACCCTCTAACCCTAACCACTTGTTTTGCAATTTGTCAGAAATCCAAAGCAATTCGGCACTTCGGCAATTCAGCAATTAGAATTTCGAACATTCGTAAGTATCCGAATGTCCGAATTGCACAAAATTCATCCGAATGTACATTTGGAACGAAACGCCTTGCACATGTCTCATGAACATTGAATGTGCCTGTCACCTTCTTTCTGGATAATTAAACTTGGCCTTGTCTTTGTGTACCTGTGAAAGTCTTAATGGCCCTGTATTGAATGGAGCAAAACAATTTGATTCTGTATGGGGCCATTCAGATTGTAAAAACCGGACACTTTACACATTATTTATCATTTGTTTATTTTCAAAACAGCATCTAACAGGGCCAAATGATATAATATGGGCACAGATTATTTAAATCCATACTTGTATTTTAAAAATCTGTACTATTTGCCCATTGGAAAATAGTTGGCAGTGCAAATCAGGTTTTTTGGAGGCAGGTCAATGCTTGGTATTCAGCTGCCTCAGTAGGAAATGTAAAAAAGTAAATGAAAGAAGAGCATATGGGGACCAGTATGAACCACGTTTAACTCAGGAGAGGATAATTTCCTCTATTATGCCCCCATCTGCCATGCCGCAAGTGGAGGCATGTCTGCTAAACAGTGAGTCAGCGACTGCTCAGTGGTACTAAATAGTAACACTATAGTAGTAATAATAGTAAATAATAGTAGTGATAATAGTAAATTATCAGGGATGGGGACATGGTACTGATTTCCACTTAGTTCCTTAGGGAGAGGACTCCTTGAGCTCAGGTTTGAGGTCGGTTTGCAAATATGGATGCAATGACAGTCCATTAACTTGCAGGGCAGCCCCAAGCCTCTCCTTGTATTGTAATCACAGAGGGAGAGGCAATAAAGCAGGCCTACAGTTACTGGCCTACAGTCTTTACTGTGGTTCTTCTGGTATCTCATTACAATTGAGGCTGGGACATATGAGGCAGTAGCCTGGAGCTTTGCAGGACTGCAGAGATGCCTTGTAGCTACACCCACTTAAAGGCCAATGGTCCACGGGGTGTACACTATGGCAAGTGTAAAAATAATGATCACGGTACAATTGTAAATGCAGCAAAAAGTATTACTTTTGGATGTTTAAGAAAAGTTGATGAGAATACATGCTTAACTGAGATCTTACTATCATAATACCACAAAAAAATATACTCTTTACTTGCACACATGAATTTTCTTAATCTGATTTTTGGGGTCCCCAGATTCCTCTAACTATGGGATCACTAACTAAAGGGTTCAACATCAGAGGAAAAAAGGCTGCTTTCTACTTTTATCTCTTTACTCATCCTTTTTAATATGTTATCTACTTACTTGTTAAACAGTTTATTTACAGTTATGATCAGCACCCTCTATCTATAGGTGATACAATAATACATACTGCATAACTTGTGAATGGTACATAATTAATTTACAAATTTAAAATTAGTAAAGAGACATTATCATGTATCTGCGTTATTTAAGCATTACTATTGAGAAATAGAAAAAGTAAGATGTATCAGTTGGAAACAAAAACACATTAATAAATCACAATTTTATTAAAGGATATGGAGGCTCATATTAGGCTTTAACTCTTTCTTTATTCCTCAGCAGCAAACAAAGGATATTGATATTTTTTATAGCAATAACAAGAAAAAAGAAAACAAATACCCTTAAGGGTTAACCATATAACATTCCAACATATTAACCAATGGGATCAGTCCTTATTCTATGTCCCCCTCATGTTACCTAAGCCACTCCCTCATTCTTTGCTGCTGCCTCAGCGAAGTACCTCATATTTTTTTTTTTTGCTTTGAAAAATTGTACTGTATTTAATGTGTTTTTACTGGTATTACTGTACCTTTCAGATTACTATTCATTGATTATGTTTCTATTATTATTTGCTGTATGTTTTCTTAGTGTTTTGCTTCTGTTTTTTTGGCTCTTCAGTGCAGGATACTGCCCCCAGGTGCAAGCCCCTATCCTGCACTGCCGCTTGGGTTGTTTTCCACAGCTCTCCGTTTTCCACAGCTCTCCACAGCTCACGCTGTTCGTTAAGGGAGGGGTGCAAGCTGATTGGCTAGTGGAGGTGTTGGGCAGCTTACCAGTGCCCCCCAGGAGTCATTCCTGTGCCTTATAAGAGTCTCTGTCCTCCAGTGACTTAACATTATTCAGAGAGAGTTTTAAACACTTGTATTTAGTCTCTGGGTTATAACTCACTGTAATGGTGTTTTGTTTGCCCTGTGCCATTCTCCATTAGACCCATACTGATTAGTGCTTCCCCATTTCAACCTTTTATATTACATCCTAACCAGTATGCAGTCCCCTGCTGACAAACAGGCTATTGGCCCCTCCACCACTGCTAAACCTAGCAAACATAATATTACAGCCCTGCCTACAGGCACTGCGGCCATTGGGGGTGGTGAGGAAGAATCCCAGGACCACACAAACTCAGAGGATTTCCAGGCGCTCCTGGATGCTACAATGAACAAGTCAGCTACACAGGCCATTTTTAATGCCATGGGAGTGATGTCGGACACCCTGTCACATACTATCTCCTCTGCTATCATGGCATCTGGCAGAAACCCTGGCTCAGCACCCCCTATAACCTCTGATACCAAGCCAATGGTCCCTAGCGGTCGCAAGGCTACAGGCAAATCACACCATCTAACCGGTGTCACCTCCAAAATCAGTGTGACGGACAGGTTGCGCCCTGTCGAAAATGAAGACGTGGTGCTCCCAAGTAAGAGATCCCTCCACCGGGAAAAAGCGGTGCGGATTTGGAAGAGGGCAAAAGCTCTACCTGATTCATCCGACTCCGATTCGGACTCAGAGGAGGTTTCAAATAGGTCCGATGCCAGCGACCCGGTTGACTCAGACAATTCATCCCCTGAACGCAGCGAGCCTGCACCCCCCGCGATAGACGCTGACCAGGAAGCGGATGAATCCGCGATTTTAGACCCCCAAAGGGAACCCCTCTTTGACCCCGACACCCTGCAAAAAACTACGCTCGGAGGAATGCTATCCCATAACTCATGTGGCCATCTATATAGCGACCAGGGTGAGAAAACCCCTTGATAAGGCCACAAGGAGCAAGTTGAGGGCAGAATGCCCACGCCCCATGGTCCCAGACATGGCTTGCGTAACCCCCGAGGTGGACCCCAAGATCACCCAGTTCTTGGGCAAGTCAGGATGGAAGGTCAAAAAAGGATTAGATTACTCCCTCAAAAATTGCCAAGACAAGGTCTTAGACATCCTCGGGCCTATAGCCAAAACCTCAATTGATTTATTGGCCACCAGGGGATGGATCCAGAGAGGCATTTGCCTAATTGGGAACGCCAATACCGTTTTGGCTACGGAACGGCATAAAGCCATACTAATGAAGATTGAGCCAAAACTGATACATTTGGCAATTTCCGAGCCTGGCACACAGGCAAAAGGTCTCCTATTCTGAGACAATTTTGTAAAAACCCTGGGCAACTATGTCAGCACTTTCACTGCACTAAAAGTGCACAAAATAATATGAAGCAGCTGTTCTCGCAGAGAGCTTTTGGTGGGGCCGGCAGACAGTGGGGCCGTCTGTACGGCCGCCCCTCCCGGACTTCATACAGGGGCTGCCGAAGGCTCTGCCACAACAACAAGGTTCCACCCTCCTGAACCCAGGACACAGTCACCATTTTCCCCGACCAGGGACAGGTCGTGGCACCCACGTGGAGCCAGGGGGTCCTCCTATGGCCGTCGACCTTATGGCAAGTCATTTTCTTTGACACACCCTTTCGTTATCACAGGTGGGGGGCAGACTGATTCATTTCCACAATGCCTGGCACAAACTAACCTCAGATGCCTGGGTCCTAGAGAACAGGTTACCACATCGAGTTCACACAACAACCTATTCAATTCTCATTACCACATCGGATTGTTTTTTCCCCACGAGACACAACCCTAGTAACAGACGAAATTCTCACACAAGAAATGAAAGGTGCGATCTACAAAGTCCCAGTTACCGCCCCCTGGGTTCCTAAGCAACATCTTCTTAGCACCCAAGAAAGGCAAAGGCATGAGACCAGTAATAAACCTACGATCACTCAACGCCTTTGTCACATACCATCACTTCAAGATGGAAGGGATACACTACCTGCGGGACCTCCTAAGACTGGGAGACTGGATGGTAAAACTGGACCTCCAGGATGCATACCTCACGATACCGATCGCCGAGGAATGCCACCATTTACTCAAATTCCAATGGGAAAAGACAATGTGGCAATTCCGATGCCTCCCTTTCGGCCTTTCCTCAGCCCCATGGTGCTTCACCAAACTGCTGAAACCTGTAGTCACCCTTCACTGTAGCAGAGGTGTACGTATGATCATATACCTCGACGACATGCTGATCATGGCCCATGACATCCAGCTACGGAACCAACACCTAGCCTGGGCCTTGACCCTGCTGCAAAACCTGGGTTTCCTAATCAACTGGGACAAGTCAATACTGCAACCTTCCCAATTAATAGAGTTTCTGGGCTTCGATATAGATTCAATTCACGGAGCGCTCAGTCTACCTACCACGAAGATAAAACTCATCAAGAAGGAAATCCAATGCACTTTGTCATGACCAGTCGTGACCTTACGTCAACTAGCCAGGATAATTGGTCTGCTCTCCGCTTCCATACAAGTGATCTTCCTAGGACCTCTCCACTACAGAGCCCTACAACTCAAAACCACCCACCTATGATTGGGTCAATCTTACTCAGATTCTGTGCCACTAGACTGTGCAGCAAAAGAGGAGCTAGCATGGTGGCTGCAACACATGGAACGGCAAGGCGATCTTTGGAATCGACGCGAGCAGACTCGGATGTGACGCTCGTTATGGTCCCACCTCTACAGGTGGAAAATGGTCCTCAAAAGAAAAGGAACTCCCCATCAATGGTCTGGAACTCCTAGCTGGGTCATTTGCCCTCTGGAGCCTCCTCGGACACACAACCAATTGTTCCATACTTCTACTTATGGACAATATCTCGGCCGTACGCTACATCAATCACTTGGGTGGCACAAGATCGTCAATACTCATGAGCCTAGCGAAAGAGTTTTGGCACTTCTATCTGAGCTGCATCATATCAGTACAGGCAGAATACCTTCTGGGACTCTGCAACACTGTAGCAGATTGGAACTCCAGACATTTATGAGACAACAGCGCCTGGCGACTGAATCACACGATATTTCAGAAATTCCAACAACTCTGGGGCCCGATGCACATCGACCTCTTTGCCTCCCGGCTGAACGCTCAACTTTCCTCATTCTTCAGCTAGAAACTGGACCCAGACACCATGGCAGTGGACGCCTTCCTACAACACTGGCTGATCAATCGGCTATATGCCTTTCCTCCCTTCTCACTCATAGCACAAACTCTCCTACACCTTCAACGCTCCCGAACATCGTTGCTTTTAATAACACCATTCTGGACGGCACAACCGTGGTTCCCTTCTCTCATGGAAATGTCTATCGATCTCCCCAGATTGATCATAGGATCCACGGAACTATTATCAGACCCCGATGGGAACCCTCACCCACTTCTGGCACAAGGCCACCTCAGACTTATCGCGTTGCTACTATCTGGGGACCCTGGACAATGCAAAATGTTTCACAAATAACTCTGGACTTATTGGCAGGAGCTTGGGCTCCAGGAACAAGATGATCCTATACTCATGCCTGGAACACATGGCGTAGTTGGTGCCTGGAACGACACATGCTCCTGTGAACCATGTACTCAGTTTCCTTACTACCCTGTATGATCAAGGCTTGGCCTAGATCACCATAAATGTGTATAGATCATCAATTTCAGCTGCCCACGACGGATGGGAAGGTTTCCCAGCTGGAAAACACTTATTGGTCTGTCGTCATCTACGAGGCATAACATGTGCACGTCCACCACAACCCCGCTACATGGCCTTATGGGATGTTAATTTGGTCCTTTCATTTACTGGAAGACTGGCCTCCAAACGCAGATCTCACACTCAAACAAGTGTCTGCAAAATTAGCTATGCTCCTGTGCTTAATCTCCTGCAAAAAGGTGTTAGACGTTTGAGCCCTGGATATCGATGCATGGTCCTTCACCCCGCAAGGTGTGCTGTTTAATATTACCAGACAGATGAAATCGAAAATCACGTCAGTCTTTTACCCCTCCTTTCCTCACAATGCTAACCTCTGCCCGGTAGCATGCCTCCAGGAATACAAACGGCGGACACAATCATTCCGGAACCCAACAACACACGACCTGTTCTTAGCCGTGAGGAAACCTCATCATCCAGTATCCACAGTAACTCTGGCATGCTGGGTAAAATGGATAATGTCAGCTGCTAACATCGACACATCAGTTTACGGAGCTCGCTCCACAAGAGGCGCTATGGCCTCTAAGGCATTCTCCATGGGCTGTAAATTGGAAGATCTCCTCCGCATAGCTGATTGGTCCCGGGAATTGAAGTTCAAAGAATACTACTTCCGACCAACAGAACATATCTTGTCTATGGTTATATTACAGCTTTAAACTAGCCTAATATGAGCCTAAAAGTCACGTAAAGTCATGATTTATTAAGGACACGGAGGCGAGTATTAGCCCGCCCAAAGACAGGTAAGTCATACGTCTTATTGTCCCACCCAATGGCCTAAACAGGTTGGAATGAGTTGGATGTTCAAATAAAGTGCTATATATTAACAATAAATGTGGTTTACTTCTCGGCTAGACTCATGGAAAATAATTTGGGGTTTTGAACGTCTATTGAAAATTTAACAGTTTATATGCATGACAACGATATTGGAATATAGCCTACAGCTTAACCCTATTATGGAGTAATCGGGATCACCTTCTCCTTCCTAACCACAGCGGAAGAGTCCCACTGAAATCCTCTATCTAAGAAGATTCAAGTTCAATGTTCTTCTTCAGTTGGTGCACCCAGCTTCAGCATCAGCTAGAAAGAGGGAGTGGCTTAGGTCACATGATGGGACATAGAATAAGGACTGATCCCATTGGTTAATATGTTGGAATGTTATATGGTTAACCCTTAAGGGTACTTTTTTCTTTTTTCTTGTTATTGCTATATTAAAAATATCAATATCCTTTCTTTGCTGCTGAGGAATAAAGAAAGAGATAAAGCCTAATACTCGCCTCCGTGTCCTTAATAAAATCATGACTTTACGTCATGTAATTAGTACAATCTGGTAATTATTTTCTCTTTTTCTAGTCCATCTTCCTGACAACTAAAAAAAAATCATTAAAGAAGCAAGAAATGAACGCATATTGTCACATTAGTAAGAAAATTACTTATGTGTGTAACTGTTGATAAATATCAGTTAAAGAAAACCCTTTGTTGTGATGAACAATTTTCTTGATTGCTCATTGGCAGCAAACTATAACAAGCCTCTTGTAAGTTAAACATAGTAGATGTTTCTTTCTCCAGGGACAAACTCTAGTTTTCTAAAGGCATGTTTAATAAAAATAAACGTAAATCAAAAGCCTTGCCATTTTCTGCATGTTACAAAAATGTTTCACGCAGTCTTTTTTAATTAGTGGTCAGTGGTGAGCAATAGGGCAGCCAAATGAAGCAATCCACCATCCAAAAGTTGTTCAGCTGCTTGTATTTATGCATTTTTTGCAGCTATCACACATTGGGACAAGGCACAGAAATAAGCAGTAAAAAAAGTAACGGTAAAAAACTCTATATAACAAATACAGTTGCACATATTTTCCAATCTCTTTTTTTGCCAGTAATTCATCTGATCATGTTTTATACACATAAAACACCCACAAAAAGAAAATACATTTTATTCTGCAGATTCTGAAACAGATTCTGGAATGTCTTATGCAAGAATGCTAGAAGGCACTTGCAGTGATGAAATGCTCAATAAAAATGAAGCCTATTAGGTCACAGATAGCGTTTGTAATTGGTGACTATATCTTACAGAACAAACGATAGAGATGTAAGAGCTCTGAGTAAATCTTGTCACAATACTGGCCAGAGGAAACATAGGTGTGTCTCAGAATCAGATCCATAAATTTTCACATTTTTCTCTCTTTTTTTTTTATATCA